TTGAAATTAATCATAGTGTGAATTTTGCGATAAGTCGTGTTTCTGTGTTTGCTCCGACCTATGACGAATGTTTCCTGCCTTTGTGCCCAATGCATTTAAGGATAGACTGCAGGCTCCGGTGACGCTTTTCCTGGGAAACAGTTTTTTGTTTCTCCATCTTTCTACAGAATGTGGTGAAGCATTAAACGAGTAGTTCATTATCTTACAGATACGACGCAGCTTAGCAGATTGATAGAAGAAATTGCAATTATATATATACTGTAGATACAACAGCTATATCACTCTGGTTGGCGAGTGCACTCCTGTCTTCATCACACACTCTTGATCTCATATTTTATATTCCATGGTCTATACATCCATCAATGTTCTATACCTAATCATGATCACAGGGCCTATTCCAGCATTCACTGAATATCTAATAAATATAGGTCAACAATTAATTTCAAGGCTCATAAATGTCAGTTAAGTCTAAACATTTACTAAACACAACAGCTGACATGAAAATCTATCAGTCAGTCAATCGACCTGTTGCCTTATATTGATTTCATTCATTCCCTAACTGCCAGCGAATTAGCACAGCCGGTCCTCTATAATTCCAGCTGATATATGCCAAACAATAGTGGCCCATAGGGGAGACATGCTTTGGGACTTCAGCACAATGTAAATGATTAATATGTGGCCTTGGGCTTTGTTGAAGCCCACATCGCATATCACATGCCCCTATAGCAGTGTTGGCAGCTGTCATAGTCACCATGAAGTGTGCCAATTTAGACCTGAGCCAAAACAACACGTCAGACAGGCGCAACTGTCCCTTCCTCCAAACACAAGGTGACCAAGTCGTTAAGCACGTGCATCCGCAATACACCTAGTGGTGCACGTATGGAAATATAGACTCACTTGCCAACAACATGGGTACATCATTTCTCTATCTAGTAGCATAATTCATCTGCGTTTGAGTGTGTAATCTGTAATATCAGGAGTTTTCTCTCCTTCTAGAGAGCTGGTAATGCTGCAACCGACCTGAGCTTATTGTTGTCCTTTTTGTTGAACTCATATTTGGGCACACAAATAAGATATTTTGTTATTTAACTGCTGTCAACTCACACTTCAAGAGCATTTAGAGCGGTACCGATAGTAATAATAAAGTATCTATCCAGCATTTTTAGTTCATTATTATAAATGTCAATAATTGCTATTAATGCACAGTGTTGAGCACAATGAAGCAGTCCTATTCCTTTAACGTTTGTATTCTAAAAAGAAAATCTTAAATGGACTTCCTCAGATGCAGAGTCAAAAGTCAATTTCGGTCTGAAATTATTACATTACAATGGATTTGAATGCTGAGGCGAGCACATTTGCACAGTGATTTTGCATATAGTTAAACTTTGGTGACATTTGACACACAAATTTACACCGTTGGCCAATTTGAACCCATCTTGACAGTGCTGACTTTTAAGAAAAGGAGAGAACCAAAGAGTCCTAAGTAGAAGTTTTCATATTAAGCTGTGTTGTACCATCCAAAGTCATCAGAGAGGAGTGGATTCAATATGCTTCTTTGAATTAACTGTGTTCAGTTGTTGTCTAAGTACTGAAGCACAAATGTTACGGTTCTGTCTTGCAGTGCTTACAATGAAAATATGATTGTTGTTGTTTTGACCACATATATCTACCAAAAGGACATGTATAGTAGCTGATCAAAACTGATATGGTTTCGCGAAGGCATGCAAGCGTAACGGAATTACATTAATGCTTATTAGTCAAAGATAAAAACGATACGTCTTACAGGAGTGTGGAGGCAATGTGCTGCTATTACCCATTTCTAATTCCTGCTCCATTTCTCCCTGATGCTCACCCAGTCATGAATAGCTCCCTCTCCCTCTCCCTCTGTCCTAAGGCAAGGTGACGTAGAAAGCACTGAATAAGCTTTAATGTCTATCCAGACGCAGTCTTGTCAGCTTTGAACTATGCTTTTCTGACCATCTTTTCTATGCCCATCAGCCAGAACTCTTGTACTAAATTGATTCTGCACACCAAAGATCTTTGAGGAAGGGCGTAGACAACAAAGCAAGGCCTGACAGCAGACCTGAGAAGTACTTCGGGCATGTGAACAGAGGCAAGAGAGGGGTGATAGATAAAGTGGGTGAGATATGGCAGTGATGTCTTGTTTGGCTGCAGGGCAGAGGTTCACATTATAGATTTTTACAATGTGTCTTTGCACCTTACCCGGTGTCAAGGCAGTGCTTATGCAGATGTGTGAACGTCTCCTGATCCTGCTGCAGGAAAAGCAAGCGCTGATACTGCTTTGGTGTGAGAGCTGCGACTGAGAGGTCTCAGGCTTTAACTTGACATCAGCTAATGTGAAATGACAGGGTCCTTGGGCAATACACTGATCTGTCACCTGCTCACAGCCTGAACTAACAGTGTCGGCTACAAGGATACAAATATAAATGTGAAATTCAAAAGTTTCTTGATTTGACAAATGCAACACCTCTTTTTTGGGCTAAGAATTTCAGAACTGTCAACGTCTTCGTATTTTTATAGTTCCAGTATTTGTCTGAATAGGTAGTGATAGATACTGGCTGTGAAAAGAAGGAATGTCTAAAACACACACACAGCCAGAGCTTAAATGTTGGCCTCTGCAATGCTGTCGTCTCTAGATTTTAGCAGTGAGCTATTTTGGCAGTGATAACGTTTGTTCCATGATTCAAACTGTCGTTATAATCCACATTTGGTTCTCGCTATCCCAGCTTAAGCTAATGTGCTTCTATGGATTTCTGTTTTATCAAAAAAACCTCTTTTGAAAAGCAGTTTAAAGGGATTTCAGTCTGGAGATGGAAAGAGATAATACCGGTGCAAAACAGCCACCAACACAGAGAACGATGCATCATCTGAACTATTTAAAGGAAACATTGTTTCACTGTTGGCTGGTGAGCCGCCTGCAGTTGCACTGCACTGCATTAGACATCCTTCTGATTATTTATTGCATGCTAGATAATAGGCAGTCTCTTGCTCGGGCGATATATAGGTCACATGTGTATAATCAGGATATGGAGATGCACATGCAAACTCATTAACATATCATGTGTAGCAGGATTTAACAAATATCACAGACTATGGCTGGGCCCCAGATTCTCTTACATAAGTCAGTGATGACATGGAAGTTGTCAATGTGTCACTGATACCACATAATCTATCCAGGGTGACTGCACTTGGACTATACACACAGAAGTGAGATGGTTACATAACAAAAGGATTTACATTGATTACTATGCCGGTGACACAATATGTTCTTATACCTAAACTTAGAACATACTTTTGCATGTCAAGGACCCCGCCAAAATATGAGCCTCTGTTCTAGATTGTTAATGTTAAATGTGAACAATACATCAGGATACACATTGGTGTGTTGCAGCAGGTGTAGCACAGAACACATCAGATCTTAAAACTCACAATTCTCCTCACAGTCTGTCTGTCTGAGACGTGACAGCTCCGCGGGGCAAAGAAGCAATTAACAAGGAGAATGATTAGTCTGATTGAAGCAAGAGAGAGGCAGAAAGGAAGAGCACGAGTGGGAGAGATAAAAGAAAAGACTTCTGACAAGGACTTTGTGACACACACACACATACACATACACTAGTGACTGATTTCCCCCAGAGCCTCCGGGCGTGGACCACGGCTGCCTTTGGAGATAAACTGCACTGCTATCTGTTGGAGATTTCACTCTCTTATAAGTTCCATGAAAGCTGTCGCATACGTTTCTTGACGTCAGCATAAAGTGTGCCTTGCTTTTGCTTGGATGTTTAAATCTATCTTTGTAGTTCTCATAGTTCGTTCTTACCTTCTGTAACAACCAGATGGCTGCTTTTTCAGCAACGTTTTCCTATTACCGTGTACATGTGTAGGTTTTGAATGTGTTGCACGTGGGCAAAAATACGGTGGGACCGACACAAAAATATGGATTGATTTGCCGAGCTCCTGCATTTCTCAGCCTTGCACATAACGCTGCTTAGCTGACAGTATCCAACCTGGTGTGGTGACAGCCCATTCATTCTGGTGGCATACAGGTATTTCTCAGATAGTGAACATATACTACACATTTTCACCTGCACACCTGGGCGAGGAGATGTGTCTCCTGTGACTGTGTGTAGCTGTCTGCGCAAACGATATTGCAGCCACATTTATCGTTCACATACAGACACTGCTAAGGAATATGCTGCAGCTGCTGAAACTGGAGATAAAAGTTCCAATTGAATTGGTGGGTGGCAGTGTGGTAGCTGAGCTGTGCTAAACAGAATCATGAACTATGATATCTTTATTTATTTAGGTTTCATCCTTCATTAAGTAACTTAAATATTCCAGGCATCAAACCAAGTTTATGAGTGTAATGCTGTGTTTTAAGCGTCGTCTATCAGAGCAACCGTTGAGCAAGCAATTGTGTTGTGTATGAATCAGTAGTTTTATGGTGTCTCTCTTTGCTACATGCTGACCCAGAATAAAAATGCAGCACAAAACATCCAGTTCCTCCACTTAAACGTTTGCAAAAACGTCAGTTTGACCGAAGCACAGGATCTCCCTGCATTGATATTTGCAGGGAAACTTTCTCCAAATGGATCAAGATGCACAGCTGTTACATTCATCTTAGGATGATTTCACAAAGAATAGAGATGGACTTTTTGTTTGAGGGAAATCAGAACAGAGTCATATGTTGTATATCAATACAACCATTACTGGTAAATGGTATGCATCTTAACTCACCAACTTTCTTGGTCTGATAACTTTATAACATGTTTAAAATTGTTCAAAAGAAAAAATGCTGCAATGTTAATGCGTCATTAAGTCCATAATTTGCAAGCTGGTCTTCATGTGTTGAAGTGAAACATTTGGTATCATACAACTTCAGACAAAAGGCCTGCGTTTTTCCTCTTGGTGCTGCTACAGTGAATCCTATGTAGACAGCCTCATGTGGGACGTACATACTGTAAGGTGCCAGTTAAACCTACTTGTCTAGTCCTGTCTGCTCCTCTGAAGACCACACGTCTGTCGACCATGTCCCGATTATGTCTGCCCGGCCATTTGGCCCCATCTGGTCTTTTTCCTCTCTTCCCTTCAGGACATCCACATGTTCCATCACTCCAGCCCTCCTCTGCTAGTTGATCCTCGGTGTCCTAATGTCAGAGAGAAGGCATTATACAACTCTGCCGAAAAATAATATCCACCCCCTTACTGAACAATTCAAGTCATGCATCTCCTCATGTAATCAGATGAAACATCTGTTTTTGTAACGCTTGTAAGCAGAATAATTATTCTTACATAAGGTGGTATTGGGGGAATTGACATGAACATTATTTCATTAGCGCTTACATATCGCTATTTATGGTTGCTATTGAAGGTGATCAGATTGGATGCCAGAATCTCCCTCGGGCAGTTGCATGCAAGTTACTTTGAACTCTGCTCTGTTCACTGAGGCATGTGGAATGGGTACAGTGGGGCAGATGTGAATGTGTCTAAACAAGCCCCAGCTGAATTCAACAGGGATGGAGGCGCACACGAGCGAGCATGAGCACGAAGAGGCAAGTAACAGCGCAGACGCGCAGTTGTGCCGGGAGTGTTTGGGAACCTATCGACTTCTATGAACATCTTTTTCAGAAGAGGCAGGGTTAAGATGAACCATGACTGCTGCTCAGAACGAGACCTTGTGATTCTCGCACACAAAATCCACTGTAGCCTCCTGTATGACCAGTTAGCCCTGTGGCAAAAAGAGTCTTGAGACTTCATAGAGGCAGACAAGTAACTTGTCTTGTTTTGCCTTCTAAGAAGGCAAACTGTAATTAATAGAGGAGAATTTAAACTCTAATTAATGGAGGACAATTGATAAGATATTCACCTTGATATGCCCTGCCAATGTTTCCACTTTCAGTTTGTGTGCAGTTGCATTGTTCTTCTGGTTAAGCACTAGTAGCCTTGTAAACAATTGATGATATTTGGGGAAATCCAGCAGCTCCACTGCGGCGATCGGATGGTTTTACAGTACCACATCCATCAGCCATCTGTGACCGGGTGGACGACATATGAAAATGGCCTGAAAGCCCATAAGATTACATTGTTAATTACTTTGTAGTGTCTCTTGGTGTAGATGGCTCCGCTATGAGAAACTACAAAAATACCGAGCGATATCAGTACACCTGCTAGTTAGACTCGGCATACAAAAGCATAGGGTGGCAGTGTTTTCGTATGTAATATTAAGCTCGCTGCCAGAAAGGTATAAAAAGGTTCGCACAGAGAGTTTATGTATAAATATTACTTCATGTTTTAAATTATTTTTGAATACCCCAGGGACCCGTGTCTACCCCTTCTGGCAGTGAGAGTAATTACAAAAACATTGTCGACATTCAGGGAGATAGATTCTATCAGGGATTAAAAATGATCCTATAGGTTCTCAAAGATACATTTAACCCGGCATTATGATTACAGAGCAAACTTCTCAAAGTTTACAACAAGCATCAAGAAAACACAAAGAACACTGACCCAAGATCTGCATTTGCTGTAACTATGTAATTTTGTTCTCTTCTTGACCAGACAAAACACAACAGCTTTAGTTTATGCAGTGAAAAGTATGAGACAAAAAATCCGACAGAGATCCATTAGAGACACAGTTCACATACTGTCGTTCCAAGAAAATCCTCATACTGTGCATGAAATCCATACCAACAGTCATAATAGTGTTCCCACATGCCATCTCATCTGTACAGTGGAATAGGGTTAAACACAGATTACTATACTTTTGCTCTGCTATTAGGACATGTTGAGAGGGCTGTTGGGTCACACTTGTTCTGGTTGAAAATAACAATTATCTCTGCAATAGCTGATTTTCCCTCTATCGGCAGCAGAAACCAGGTGTTAACAACAGTAGCATTACATCATCTTTTAACTTCATATAGCAAGCTTGTCATGAAACAGCTAGTTGCTAACTGCGTCTGTCAGCTGTTTGATATTGAACAGGTAGTGTACAATGGGTTTTTAAAGATTTTTCACTGAAACACCAAACTTTTTACTCTGATGGATGCCAACAATGACAAAGCAACATGCCAGAAATTAATTTGAAAAGCTGTTATTTTCAGATTTAAATAAAAAGTTTATTTTGGTCATCCTATAACGGTTTGGGCCTAGAAAGGGTCTTTGTCATCTAGATCATGAAATATATTGCCACTCATTAGTTATAATAGGAAAAAAGTATGATTAAGCCTGACAGATGAAAGGAGAAATTCAATTTCTACTACACAGCAAATCCAGTTGCTTCAGGCTTACTGGATTTTATGGGTGAGGATGGAAGAAGGGCATTATTAATGGGAATTATTAGCGAAAATCAGTCATGCCCACCCCACTCGGAAGCAATGTTCAGCATGGCTTTGAGGCACATAATCCCCAGCCGAAGTTTTCTCCGACAATGTGAGTGAAGTTCAGTTGGGGATGACTGCAGCTCGATAATGTTAACCAAACAATACTTCCAAGTACTAAATGGAAAGCAGAAAAATACCCACTGCACCACTGTCAGCTGTTCCTGTGTGTGCTCTACACTACTTGCATCGTGTCACAGGAGAATGTGTGTGTGTGTGTGTGTGTGTGTGTGCAGGTGACAACAGGTGGGAATATTAAAGAGTCTCATGATAGTAATCTGTCAGTTAACCAACCATGTGATATAGCAAAAGGCCACCTTGGTATTCCAAGCACATGCATGCAGCAGACTATGAACCCACAAGGATGAACACATCTCATAAGAATCCCAAACAGCCACCACAGTACTTCTGGCCATCTGCAAAGCCTGTTGGTGAGAGTGTGCGCGTGTGTGTGTGTGTGTCCAGGGCTGACTAATCTTGGCCGTCATCACAAATGGCCCACTGGAATCATCCATCACATTCTTTGTCCTCCACAGACACACACCACACACACAAAAACACACACACCATCGACTCCCATCTCCAATTCATCATCCTGAGTCAAGCGTTCAACTTGCAAAGTGTCCCCTTTGCCCCTCTGTGCTACCGTGGTATCATTTTACTTCAGCAAGCTCACACCTGAGGCCGAGTCCCATCTGCCTGCTACCACACGCACGCATGCATGCATGCATGCACGCACACACACGAGAAGATACATCTATAGTAAATAAAGTAAGGAAAGTGAGCTGGGATGGAGGGATTAACCTCCCTTTACTGACACAAATGTAACATATAACCCTGGTTAAAAATGTGTACATAGGTGCAAGTAGAGAATTTTCTGCAGACTACGTGCCTAAGTAAATCCAAACAAACCAATCTGCAGAACACACACATGCATGGGATACTTTGGCTTATACTACACAAGTGAAAAAAAATGCATATATAGGCTACGTCTTTATATGTGTGTGTGTGTGTATGTGGTTTTCCCCAATTCAAAAATGTGTCAAATATCCTGCATACATCCTCCCGATAAGCACCAAGTTCATTTCTTTTGTTTACTTCCTTCTTGCATGCTGTTAACATTGTGGATATGAACCTTGTAAAGGCACTTGGAAGGAAATAGTTTTAATGATTGGCAATACTTGTACTTTTGCTGGGAATTGAACTTGGGACCTATTTGCAGTGAGCAAAGAATCAAAATACTGTAACCGATCTGATTTATCTGAAGTCCCCAAGAGGGACAGAAACCTTCAGTTCTAATACATTCCTAAGATTTCCGCAGAGGGCCAGACCAATATTTACATTATGTAAGTATGTAAGACTTCTTTTCCTGCCTATTTTAGGACTTCTGTCATTAGATAATCTAAAGTAGGTATGAGGTGTGGAAAATGCATTTGAAAAGCAGTCGTGGGCTTACATTTGGGGGTAGAGTGATATGGCTTTTTTTTAAAAGCATAAAATCTAATAGAATATGACTAAAAGGCCAAGCAGATAAAGCAATTACAGTCTGGCGAGCCTCCTTAGACACATTTGTCCTTTGACGACTGGAACATGTGTCCTCTGCTGGGATTTGCAGCCCATCACCACGTTACATAACTATATTTGGGGACGGTTCCTTTCAGCACAGTATGACTGAGAGGATGAACCGGGAAAGAGGAACATGCCGTTCCATGCTTTGTCCCTCTCTTAATGACAAATGAGGAACACATCCCTCTTTCCCTCTTGCAGTCTTGCAGTCTTGGCGATTGCCAGAGTATGATGGTGTCATTACAATCTTGTGAGTGCTTCCTGTCAGAGGAGGTCAGGCTGTTGATAGTTTCTGGAACAGCCAGCCAAAGACAAAGTCATGAAAGACTTTATGTTCAGAAGTAAAACTGGTAAGAAACAGTCGGTGAGGACTGACAAAGGAAAAGATTTGACGCGGTAAAAGCTCCTCTCTGCTAGGTGATGGGGTTATAAAGATTATTAGGTACAAATCGACAGTATATCTTGTTTTTGCGCATCGATTTCATTTGTTTCATACTTCAGTGTCACAACATGTCCCAATAACTAACAAAATATATCTTTAGTTTTAATGTGAAGCAAAACCCTCAAAAATGTGTTATCCTATATTTGCTATAAGTGATTATGAAGGATGTAAAATACACACATCGATTTAACTTTGACTTTTGCAACCGAAATATAATTTCATTAACTTTTTCATCTCGGGTGCTGTCCAACACAATTTCTTAAACCAAGAAGATTCGATTATTTTAAGTTGTTAAATGTTTAGGAGCTTGGCCCGCTTGTTGGATTTTCATAACAAAACTCAAACTAGGCTCGAAGCCAAGAGTTTCTTCCTACGTTTTTGGAATGCAGATTTTCAGCAGCTGCATTTCTCCACAGTGGTTGATAAAGTATCACCTAAAATGTATATATAATTTAAAGTAAATTACCTAGTGACAATGAATCCTGCACAACTTTAAATAAATTTGCATATATCGCATGCATAAATGCCTAAAGTATATAAACTCATTTTAAGAAGCAATATCTCGTCGTCGAGTTGCTATTTATTCCTCATTTCCATACTCTATAATGACTCAGAGATGAGGAGTCACACATTCAGTATTTAATCATAATTTACACAAGAGGAATTGAGTAATCATTGAATACTCACTACAAGGCTGTGTCATCGTCTGTGGTACATGTATCATTCGCTTAATGAGGCAGTCATTAGGGACAATGGGTTGCCAGTTCCGTGGCTTTGGGGATGAAACTCCTGGCTCACAACAGATGAGACTAATTCCATTCCTTTTTCTCATCCTTTTTTACAAAATGCACACATTGCCTTAGCAGACACTTCTTCACTCTCTCCTCCTGTTTTTTTCATCTTCTGGATGAAACGGGCCAGATATACAGTTTGAATTTGTGCATACAAAAAGCATGCATACACCACTCACCACACATTTCTAAAACAAAAACAATTAAACAATATTGTTTATCCCCTCCTGTCTCCCTCCATTCTCGCCTTCCTACTTCCGACGGTGCTCCTCATTACAGTGATGAGGGTAACTGGCACTGGCAGTCAAGCCAAGCAACTCTCTCTCTGCCTCCGCAAATAAGCTCCATTTTCATTCGGTTACAATAATCAGTCGCATGGCTGAGAAAATAGAAAAAACAATTCCAGTGATGGAGCAATTTGTTGCATGCGTTTTGTTACAAGATATAATTTGCATGATGTACTGCCAGCTACGGATGGACATGCAGAAACAGTAAGCAGGTTAAGTTGAAATGAGAACTTGACAAGCAAGCCATCAAATGCAAAAATGAATGATAGTGAGACCGCTACAGTGTGAGACTGTTCAAGTAAACAATACATAAAACGTACAGCTTAATTTGGGAAAGCGGTGCATTAAAACATGCATTGCATTGTGTGATGTCTGTATACTTATTGATGGTAGCATGGTCCAATGTAATACTGCTTAAGAAGCCACACTGTGGACACTGCACACATCCCTAGCTCCGTTATGTGCATGCATGTAGAGATCGGTTACAGCTATAGACACTCTGACGGGTGCTCCTGTTTCGAAAGGCACCAATAAGAAATAGCACTAGCCGTGTAAAATCATAATTTTGCAGCCACACATATCTTATTGCATGTAATGGCTTCAAAAGATTGACTGTCGGTTCTGGAAAAATATCAAAGCAGAAATTGATAAAATCATAGAAGTGGATGGAAATGACAGGCTGTTAGAATAGAGCTTTAATAAAAAAAAAACATACTCATAATCCTCCTCAGCTGAGAGACTGTTGAAACACTTTGGAAATGTAGTTACTCTGACACACATGAAATACATTTAAAGAATTCCAATCATGTTCTTACTCACATAACCCCCAAGGCATTAAACATGCTGGCTGAGACTTTTAAAACAATAATCACCAAATGAATAAATAAAAAAAAGTCTGTGGGATCTGCTGGCACACACTGACCATGACATTTTAATTTGTGTTTGGACTGTAATCTGTATCGATTTTCTTTGGTATGTGTATAAAAAGACATTGCTTTTCTGTTATTGTTCCAATTAATGCACAATGAATCCTAATTTGGTGTAAAATACAAACATGTCCATGAAATTGATCCAAGCACGCAAACAAACTATGAGAAACAAAAATAATGGCCGAAATGTTCCTCACATACATTGTTATTGTGGGAAATTTGAGGATGATCTGTTAATATCTGCTACTATAAACATCCCACCTGTATTTATTATAATAGAAATTCTCGTTAAAAAAGTAAAACCCATCTCACAAAAAGGCTGTTATTCATAAACACGTGACATTTATATTAAATCTCCCTCGCCCCCAAACGCATGGAGCCAGCCATGTATAAAATGTTCCGTGAAGGACCCAGAAAGGCGGAAAAACAAACATTAACACCAACTGCGCTGCGTTTCTGAAAATAGCATTTCTAATTAGTTAGCTACAGTCACGGCATTTGTATCAGCACAGTTTGCATCAGCACACAGCAGTGTACGCGGCCATCATGCCAAACCAATCTTACTGATTAATCATTGAAATCTGGGCCACTTCTCATCAGCAGTCACATAAACTGAGATTAGAAGATTATAATAACCAAAGTACTGATGGCTGCAATAACCAATCTAACTTGATGGGTTGAATAATATAAAGATGACCCCCATCAAGGCAACCAAACATCTAACTTAATAGGTCAACCCGTCGTTATTTTGGCTTCTAGAGAGCCAGACTCCCTCTGCCAGTTCCTTTGTTCTCTCTGACAGCTTCCACTCTGCGCGGTAGCGTGAATCATCTCTCTCAGTGCCTGAATCTACCAGCTCAATCCTCAGGAACATTTCTTTCTCCAAGATCAATGACGCTAACACAGAGTCTGTAGCTTGTCTCGCTCTCGGCAGTCTGGGGGAGGAACGAGAAACCCCGCGACAAGGGGGCGGACCACTTTTGACCCCTCTGCTTCGTACTTCCTCTTCCTTGTGTTTCACCAATGTCACTGCTCTGTCATCTGAGGTAGACGTACTTGAAGAGCTCTCATTGGTTGAGTCGGAGCTGACAGAAGACCGCGTGTCCTCCGATTGGTCGAGGTCCACTTGGTAGGCTAATTTCCTGTTACTTTGCCTGTTGATGGACAGACAAGGAGGCCACCGAATGGACAGACATCTCGTCATGGCCAGCCATAATTCCTGAGGCCTGAAAACACCTGACCTCGGAGGTTGATTTGTGTCACAAAAAGCATCCCGCTTCTCCAACCGCATGCATTCTGCTGTTAATTCTGCCTCCACCAGGTCTGTTACTCCGTCAGAGTTCTTTGGCAACAGTCCTTCTTCTCTGCCCTCTTTCTTTGGCTGTAGCTGATGATCTTCTCCGAAGCTGAAGGAGCTGCTGAACCTCTGGCTCCTCTTCATCGCACTTCCTGCCTCCACATCGGAACCGGACGACGAGTCTTCATCTGGTGAGCATCCACGTGGTGACGACTGATCTTTATGATCCGTTGACTGGGGCTGTTCACTCTCTTCTGACTCACAGGAACTGCTCGTCCTCTGGCCTTTCCTCATAATTGGGCAAACGGGTCCTTCCTTTTTTGGCCTAATATGTCAGCTGCCTTTTGCTGCTTAAATTGAAAAAGGAATATAATCAAGGCTACCACAACAACAACAACAGCCGCAGCAGCAGCTCTGCTAGCATGGCACTTTCTGACATAATCTCTGCTTCAAGAGGCACAGCTTTGGCTATGGAGATGGTCAGTGATGACGCTGCGGTGTCATGTGCTCACATGCACACACACACACACACACACACGCACACACACACACACAGAAACCCCTGCATGTGTTCACGCTCTAGTCGAGTGAGCGGTGACTTGCCTCAGAGGGATGTGATGCCACATTGCATGATGTCATACCTAGCCGCGAACCAGGAGTCGGCTATGGTCTGTTTTCGTGCGAGAGCCCAGATGGTGAAAAAGATGCCCTACCCCCAAAATTGACCTAGATGTGCAAAAGGGAAGTCTTGATAAATAAACGTTGATTTTTTCCCCCTTTTCATCTCACTCTAGTTGGTATCCACTTCCAAATAATAATAGTAAATAACAGTTATTATTATAATAAATGATAATAATAATAATAGAGAAGGTGGACTCTGTGTTTACACCATGATGATTGGTGCTCAAACATAGTCAAAGTTGATGGGCAATGTTTTCCTGATGGCGAATGTTGTATGTTAAGATGTCTGCCATATTATCTGCCCAGAGAATTGTTTTTGACGCTGCCGTTTACATTCCTTATGATGCAAATTCAAAAAAAGCACTACAGGAATGCACCAGTCTTGAAGTTTTGTTTGTCGTGTTTTTCTCGTGTTGCGAATGGGCTACAACTGCATTTCGTTGTGCATCCCTGTGTTGCATAATGACAATTAATAATCCTTGAATCTTTTTATTGTCCACATTTTTTTATTTTATCTTTTTGTCTGAAAGTGTAATGACGCACCAAGGTAGATGTGTCCCTAAGTTTGTAAGATCTGGATGCGAGTATCAGCAGTGTTTCTATAATCTGTTAGTGTACACAAACAGAGATATCAATATAGAGGATATACTAAATATAGCAACCACTAAACTTGTTATTCACAACAGATGTTTTACAGATAACAATTCATGTATGAAATGCATTTATCTATTAGCTTTTGCATGCATGTCTGTTGTATTTTGGAGGGCTGCGGAACGGAGATTTACAGTCACCTACAGTTTCACCAGCTGTGTTTGTGTAGCTGAAAGTGCTCTCTGTGTAGTAGTAGTAGTCGTAATAGTAGTAGGGTGCATCAGTATGTGTGTCTGTTTCTTTCTCAGTAAGTACCTCATGTCACACGTCGACAGTGGATGTAAGGTCACTCACATCTTCCTCGCTTTTCCATTTATGGTTATAGGACGGCTGTTCAGGCTGCATGTCCCACTGTTCGTTCATACACCTTCTTGCATCACCTCGGGGCAAAAGGACACCAGCCACAGCAGACTCCAGACCGGCTGACCTTATCGCACACAGGAAGACACACGTTACAGCTGATAAGTCTGGTCGCTCAATTTCTGTGTGGGGGGGGGGCGGCCACATATCTTTGAGATAGAGAGTGAGTCACTGGAAAGATTATAAATCAGTAGCAGATATCAGAACACCTTCACAGTTACACCTGTTAGGTTACATCTCACATACTAACATTAGGGGTGATCAACAATATCAGATGCAAACCACTGATGAAAACATTTGCTATGTATTCTCTCCTCCATGGACCAATCAAAGCTGCTTAGACTCTCACACTTAAATAGCAATTAAGAGGCTAATACATTTGAACAAGCCAACCTATTACATATAAAAACAAGACTGCCTTACAGCATGATCAGCACTTTTTCTTTGAAGCGATTGTGTTCGGGAGCTCCTTCTGGGTCCTCTTGTATCCGAGTCACTGATGCTACGTCAGAAATGTAGTGGTGGGAGAGCACACAAAATATGGAGGCACGCTGCATCTCCCCTAAAATGTCCCCTGGCAGACAGACACGGGGCTTGGCTGAACACCATGCCTCCCTGGTGTATGGAGGAGAGTGTGACTGCAGTTTTCTGCAGTGTCTCCTGGCCGAGGCTGTCTCCAACAGTAAAAAATCACAACGCTTTGTTCATGAATAATATATCATAAAAGAGTGGGTATTGTGTATTAAAGGAGGCTGAACAAACATTTAACTATTGAATAGCTCTCTATAACACCACTAGACGCCAAGACAGGAACCAAAAACAAAGCAGTATTTCAGATCAGAGGTTGGACGAACGTGGCGAGAGGCCAAACAGCTTTCACCACAATCTTATCTATGATTTCATTACTCTTCATATCAGTTTCTCTCAGACCTTTACTCGTCACCTTGATAAAGTAGCTTCAATTAAAAAGTGTACACTGTCATTTTAGCAAATGTGTCATCTATTGAAAGACACAACACGGTGTTACACAAGCAGGAACACTGTGGAAAAGGTGGAACTGAATTGGAAACACAACGCCTGTTATGAATATCTTTCCAACTTTACCGAACTATGAAAAATTCATCACAGCTTTGGACTGCAGCTGCAGACTAGCGAGGCGGGCTATCTTTTTTTTTTTTCCCCTTATAACAGCTATTTCTGGACTGCATTCCCATACATTATTCACACTAACCGAGGTGGGAACCCGTATACAAGCCATTTAAATCACCTCATGGCATGCTGAAGTTCGCCAAAATGCCTAATTCATTAGAAGCAGGTGAGTTGAAAAGCCACTTTACCTACAAGCAACAGGCGAGCCGGATGAGGGCGCAGTGGACTTCCTCACACTTCCAGGCACGGGGGAGGCGAGCTCGAGCCAGAGCAGCGTGCGGATGTAACGCGACTTCTGATTGGTTCGAGGATGTCAAACGCGCCACGGTTGGACAGCTGTAAGTAGGCGGAGCCCGTGCATGGTATTTCATTGATATAGCCTACAGCTGGTGGCTACAGACTCGCCACAAGGACTGGAAGGGCTATGAAAGTGACGACGGCTTGATGTAGGAGGGGGTGTTTACAGAAGGCTCGAGAAGTGTTTTTATTATTTTAAAAGAGTGGCACACCAAAGATTTCACAGCCAAAATGCTCTGCCACGTTACTCGGCCGGATTCTGTGGTGATGGAAGTGGAAGTTGATGCGAAGGCAAACGGTGAAGACTGTCTGAATAAGGTAGGCTGTGCTGGAATACACATCACGTCTGGTCATCATCATATGATTTTTTATTTTTTTTGTAAGCACCGTGTCACGACCAGGCAGTGCAGCAGTGCTCTAATTATCTCGCGAAACTTTAGATTTTCAATTTTCCCCAAACTTCAGCTCGATCGCTTGTTAGTGACTCCTGGTAAAGAAGAGTGCGGAATTGAAGCCAGCTTAGGCATAAAGAGGAATACTTGAATAGGACGCAATCGCTGCTTGACTTGATATCCGCTGTGTAACGTTACTTATTCTGTTAACAAAACTAGTGATGCATCTGCTTTGGTGTTCCACACAAGGGACTGCGAAAACAAAATGTTCTTCTGCGCGCAACGTGCAGGGAAGAAAAAAACACATGTGTTCGTAACAATGAAACCTTAAAATGTCGATATATGATCGAAACGTATGACTTGATATAGCTGTATGAAAGTTTCGATACATCGCTGTTAAACCGGTCGCCTCTACCTGCATGTCTTTAGTTGGTCGGAGGCGTGTGGCTTTGTCAGGGTTACTTGAGTTCATTCTTCTGCAACCACTCGACGTTCTCGCTCCACTCAAACCGAAACTTCAGTCTGAACTCAGTTGTTCAGATATTTAACTCGTTTCCCTCCGAAGTGGACGCTACTTCAAATGCATGGCATGTCCCTAACTTGTGGGTATGAATGAGTTTGATCTCATCCTCCGGGCCCCCCGGCAGACGTTCATCAGCAGTTCAGTAATAACCCCGTGGCCGCTGCCGCGCTGAGGGGGCGTGGGATTGTGGGTTTGATGAGCCCCTTTACCGTGGGAGAGCCCTATCACGAGCTTCAGCATATTGATGGGTTTTATCTGTGTAGTAGTAGTAGTAATGGGGTAGCATAAATCCGAATGGAGAAAGTGATAAAAGCAGCCTTATTTTTCTTTCCTCTTAAATCTTGTGAACCTTTATTGATTCCTGTTGGGGGATTCTGTTGATTCTTGCCACTCTCCACTGGCAGACCAGAGCCAATATGGAGTCTTGTCTTGTTCAAGGACCCGTCTACAGTCCTGCTGTGAAAAATGATGTCCCATTATACTCTTTCCCTCCCAATTACTGAATCCTATTTGAATTTCTTTGTTGAAAAGCCACCTTTGTGACCCTTATCTTTCATCTATTTCCAGGTTTGCAGAAAGTTGGGCATAATTGAGACGGACTACTTTGGGCTGCAGTTCACAGGCAGCAAAGGGGAGAACCTGTGGCTGAATCTGAGGAACCGCATCTGCCAGCAGATGGATAACGTGACGCCCTGTCGACTGAGGCTGCGGGTCAAGTTCTTCGTGGAGCCCCATCTCATTCTGCAGGAACAGACGAGGTACGTTTACCAACTCGCGTGCTTGCACAGACACTGTGTGCAAATTTGCCTCTTGAAACTCACCATGTTTGTCTATATGGGTATATAAATGGATAATTAATCATGTCCTTTGTCGCCAAGCACCTGCAAATTAGCTCATCGCCTCTTCTGAAAGAGCTCAGTAAGAATTAGATCTGGTCTGTGGTTTTTGTTAACAAATACTTTCATGACTGATTGACATGCAATGATGAGCTCATGGTGGAAATAAGTCTCCGTTGGTGAAAATCCCAGCTCATAATCTGATCACTTTGTTTACAATACACTAGAACGTCCTCTAGTAACCTCTTCTCCGGGCCCTTCCGGGGTTACTAAAGGTCGTTTTGGTGGAGCTCCAGGCAGGAAATGTGATCCAGCCACCCCGGGGCTCTGTGTCACTCTGTGCCGGCCCCGAGGGACCCTCTGAGCGACAGCCAGGACCTCTGTCACTGCCCCCATTCAACTCGAAAAAACATTTGTTTTGCTTTTTTTTTTTTTTTTTTGTTTGTTTTTTTTTTGTTTCAATTGTTTGTGGCCATTTTTGTCTGAACAAAAGCATGCTGCTATATTTGGTTGTTTTTTTTTTTGCAGATGCTGTTTGGAAACTGTGTGTTGGTTGTTTTCCTCCATTGGTTTTGTTTTCATAGAAACAGATTGAAGCTGGTTTTCATAGTGATACTTGTAATAGTTTTTGAAAGCTACATATTTTCCTTTTAGACACATAATAGCCACGCGAAAAGCTGCCACAGCAGATAACGCATTGGTTAGTTTAATGAAAGGGAAAAAAAACAAAACATTATTCAGAGTAAAGTAACAAGCCTTGTCAAGTCTAGATTCTGACTTGGTATTCCCCAGCCCCAGTTTCGTTTTAAGTTATAAATAGCAGTCACAGTCCTCAGAACCTGTCCAAAAACTTGTTCTACACACAGTGTCTGGCGTGATACCGTGGATGTTACATTCACCTCAGGCAGTGCCACGGGTGTTTTCATACTGCAGAGCTGGAACCATGATGTGGAGGGAGGGCAGACAGTTTGGTCTCTTTTTAAACTCCGCCACGCTGCTCTTGCCCTCTCTCTCTCCCTCTAACGCAGCATGCCGCGAGAACTGTTAATTGAACTGACATGTATCTGCCTTGGCCAGGATTTGCTCAGCATTCCAGTACGCTCTCAGTTGCACCCCAGTTCACCCACTGCCCCATCTTCAGCTGTTTTCCCACTCCCGTTTACCTCCATTCACTGCACTCTTATCAAATACAAATATATCAACTTTATTCTCTTGCTGTCTGATATAAACTGTCCCATTTCGCATGTCCTCCCTGTTCATCCCGCTCACCCGACCCACACTTTACCCCATATTTGGCAACCCTTTGAAACAAAAAGTGAAAGGTGGTGGGGGGGGGGAGAGTGAGCTTGAAAGACACTTGGCTGCCTGCGCTCTGACCTCCACTAGATTAGCAGGGGTTATCAACAGATGGCTGATGTCGGGTGAGGGTTATGGGCTTGTAAACAAACAAAAAAAAAGGTGAGCTTAAGATGTGTGGGGTTGTTTAATTTTGGCGCAGCCTTCATGCCATCCATCTGCTCATGTGATATCATTTAAGTGGTGCTTAAGCTAACACTGGCATCAATTTTAGAGATGACGGCACGGTGTTGATGGTGCACAGCAGTGGCATTTTGGGGGAGCAACATAGGTCTGGGAAACCGCTACGCCCCATTTATAAAAGGGTCATAAAATTATACATTGCATTTCTGTGACTTATTCATTTTCTAAACTTGCATTTAAAATGTCTACCTCGACCTGCAGGGAATATGTTCATAATGTGAGTAAATTAGCGTGTTGAGAAGCAGGTGGGCTCCCGTTTCACTCACTTCTTGTGCTGTCACTTTTGACCTACTTTAGGCTACCAATGTCCCCACTCAACTTGTCCCGACTGCAGGCAAGCAGGCACTCGTCGTCGTGGCAAACGCATTGTACATTTCTGTTACAACGTGCCAATAGAAATATGTCCCATTCTTGTCTACAGAAATGTCAGTGTGCCCAACACCACGTTTGTTTCAGAAGCTGTAACCCACCATGAGACTGTGGACACACCCACTTTATAACCACACAGCATGTTTCATTAGTTCCCCAAGTGCATGTGAGCTGGAGTAAATATTCTCAGCAGCTTATGGACAAAGCAAAAGGGACTGTATGGTGCCATGACTCTCAGTTGAGCTGAGGGGTGGGCGTCTTTTTCAACGCCCTTCTTTTAGGCCTCATTACATAACCTGCACGGTACTGACTGCACACAGAGCTGCTTATATAAGCTGCTGTGTACTCTGCTGCGGTGTAAAAATCCTAGCAGGTCACTTGCACGATCTTGCTCACATGCAGCTGACTATTTGGATACTTTTGTGTTACTTCATTTTTCCTCTTTTTGTGGGGCCCACCTGTGCTAAAAGTGTACTGTGCAGAATCAAACTCATTTTAAACCAATTTCCTAAAATCTGTAATAGCTATATATAACCTTTTTAGGTACTACTACTGCGCAGCGCCAAAGTGCAGGTACATCTATTTGAGTTGCAAGGCTTAAGCTTTGTTCATACTCGCATGTGGCGTTGTCCTCCACAGAGGGAGCGTGAGTTACGAGCATGCACAAAGGCATTTATGCTTATTGTGTTCTTTGTTGCAGCATTCTCCGACATGCCAGAGGGCGTACAAACAAAACGTCTAGTTTGAAGATGCTAGAAGATAACAAGTGCGCAAAACGCCATAAACCGCCCTCCACCACGCCAATGAGGGATCTCGTATTATTGTAAACAATTTGATTTGCAGTGACGTAATTTTTCTGCCGCACGCACCTCACATTTTATAATGCTAGTGTTTCCCTGCTTGCTTTGCCATTGAGACACTTTTTGTAAATGCGTAAAATTGGCCATTAGCTTCTATTTTGGGCAGTTGATCAAAGACAGAAAACTGGGCCATACAAACCTTCCAGTGGTTTGAGATGGAGTTGCACTGAAACATTATTTTTGGCGTAATCATTTTTATTCTATGCCAGTGGAAAACAAAAGCAGTTCTCTGAAATATATTTGCTCAGAAACAACAGGTTCGCCTTTATCTGTGTTTCCATGATGCATCAACAGAAGGAAACGCCACTTTTCATTGGTTAAGGGACCACTGGCCCAAGGGCCTCAACAACAGCCTGTGTTATCTGCATCATTAAACACCACTGCTCGGGGGGTGTTTCTGGTTTAAACATGTGAATGTTTTCCCTTCATTAGCCCTCGTATTTAGCATTCTGATCAGGCAAACGTTGGATGTCCTGAAAGGGCACAGCTATTAGTACAGGCTTTATCAGAGGTACTGATTGTTAATCTGTTTACCTCCTCGGGTGTTAAAGATAAACTTAACTTAAAATAAAACTAAAAATATCTCATCTTTAAATCCAACTTTAAGGACACTGCTAAACTGCTGTCATTGCGCTCACCTGACTGTGTTCCTCCCTTCTTACATAATCCCAGGCAGTTCACAGACATTCTGGTCACAGGCACAGGAGACTAAATCTGCAGAGGTGAATGCCCGTGTTAACCTTGCGACAGCCGATCGATCTGTGCAGGGTGTTTCCCTGCCTTTCCCCCAGTGCACGGTGGCATAGTTTCCAACCCTATGTAGCGTTTGTAGCACGGATCAACTGAGAAACGATTTTACAATAAAAGGCATGACTTTGCATAGATGTACCAACATTTACACTAAGCGTCATTGATAAATCGCAGAAGCCCTGCAATTCTTGTGCAGCCGGACTTAATATTCTGCATGATTCAGCTTTGTTTTACAACAATAAATTGCAGTTTTATCATACGTTAGTTCACCCATAAATTCTCTCTACTCTGCATTTTCAACTGAATGCTCTGCCGAAAACAATTTGAGGTAATTTATTCAGGTCACACAGAAGTTGCAATGTTTAGCTCACTGTGGGAGGCTACAGAGACGATCAAGCCGAAGATCACACAAGATGCCTTTGGGTCTTCAAGTGTTCAAAAGCACCCCCCAAATTATTTATCAGCACGCTCCATCGTCGGTAGCTTTTAGCTCTGAGTTTATTTCCGCCTCTGTTTGTTGTGCACTCGAGTAACCTAGCCCTGATTTGTCTTGTTTGAATTCATAACATTAGCCCGTATCCAAGAACGACAGAATTGTTTTATTTCTTTGGCGCCTGAATTTAGGATTGATGCTGAGCTGTAATCAGTGTTTTACCATCCAGTACAGAGCACCCGCCTGTAACACAAGGCATTTAGCATACAAACAGCTTCTTTGTTTTATTGCTTCTCAACTCGGCACAGAGCGAAGGCCTGTCTGTTTTACATCTAGTGCATGACATTTTATTGTTTGGCAACTTTCTGGTTATAACTTGGATAAGCCTTTCAGTCTGACTTTCCATTCAACCCACTCTGGGGAAAAGAGCAGGGTTTACTATAGTTCATTGACCGCTAGTAACCTCACAGCGCACAGCTCCTGGCAGTGTGTCATTTGACTAGCTTACAAACCGCATTGTTGAGAGCCCAGCCGATGAGCTCCAAAACTCTGCTGGTGATTGGCTGGATGAGGTGCAGTCTCTAGGCAGAGGTGTTAGGTTTCAGTTTGTGGGGACGTTTTGTTCTGCTTGTGAAGTGAGGCGGCTGACATTCTGCCGACTGGGAGGATAGACCCTGGGTTGGGGCAGAAAACATTAAAATGAGACAATGGCTTTATAGATGGGGCTGAACAGACTAGAGAGGGTTTAGTTGACTTGGTAATGAGTGTCCGGTGACTTGACCAAGTACGTCTGTTCCTCCCCGTTCTCTGGCACCGGAGGGCATGTAAAGTCTTGCAAAGATTTCTCAAATTCTTGTATAAAAAGTTAAACGGCTAACACTGCATTTTGGGATATTTTGGTGTTCTAACTTTGAATGGTTCAAAGACGGGGCAGAAAGAAATCTGCTTAAAAAAAAATTAGACATCTCACCCCCAACTCCTTAGCTCAGCTCTGTAGCCAGTGACCTATTTTCAAATCTTCTGTTTCAGGGTTGTGGCCTGCTTTAATTGAATTACTCCAGCCAGGCAGTAGTGTTCAAACATTCGTGCAGCACCCAACAGAGCCTCTCCCTCCCCCACAATAGCATTTTGAATACTTCTCCGATATGCTGTTGGCATTCACAGGCGTCTGAACACTGAAGAGAGCCTCTTAAGACTTTGATTATGCGTTATCGCCCATGAATTACGGCGCAATGAGATCTACACACTGTAATACACTAAAAGTAGGCCAGGAAACTCTCAGCGCACACTACCTGTCATTCTGTCTCTGCCTGGTTCGTTAGCGAGGTCTAAAGAAGGCGGCGGTGCTGTGCTGATGACTGCAGTGTCCACGGATGACCCAGTCATGATGCACGTGCAAATGTGTCTGAATAGTAATGTGTGTTAGTCACTGACATGGTGACTCAAACCGGGCTGAAGCACACAGGGGAGAGGCCGAGCTGCTTTGAAACGGCCGGTGCAGCGTGGCATCCTCACGTCCCAACAAGAGACGGATTCCTGTGATTCCGTCTGGCCAAGTCACGCTCAAGGCAGTCACGGTGGTTTACACGGTCGTTTGGTTGAGCAATTATCCGTTCTGTCTCTTGTCTTGTTCCCTTGTTTACGGTAACCCTGAAGGGGTTTGTACAGATAACAGTCTTATTTTCAGTAGGTCTCAAATGTCGTGCCCACTGAGGACACGTTTGAAAAAGTGTTTTTTTGAGTTCCAACCAATCGGCCTCAAACACCACGTGAGACGATGGATTTATGGACTGTTGTCTCTCCGATGTTGGACGGTCCTTGACGGGTGCTGAGGCAGCACTACACCGCCTGAGTAGACTGATGAAGGGAAGTCCTTCTGAGAAGCCATCTACTTACTGTGGGGTAATCCGTACAAAACGTGTCCCGTCGTTGTGATCATGACAGGAGTTATGCAGCGAGTTCCCCCCCGCTGCACAAAGCTGGTATTTAGAGCAGATACAGTAGCAGTATAGCTTCACAGGAGCCTCGGTGGGATAAATTGTTACCATCTGCTTGTGAAAGCAGCTGTGTGTTGTGGATTTCAGTCATGTTTTTGTGGCGTTTGGCAGAGTGCATGTCATTCAGCCTTGGGGAAGTCGTGCAGGAGCCGCTATCGTCTAAACTGTAGTTTGCTGCAGGGCCTGTTAACCTGTTCTACTGTACGCCTTGTAGTTGTTTGCTTCTAAACGCACACCTGTTTACACATGCGGACACCCACAACACACTGAGAATGTAGGAGTTAAACGTCTTGCTCAGCAGCTGGTCGGTTTAGTGAAACATTGCTGAGGTTCAAACCATCCATATTCTGTCAGTCACACAACACCAAACCAACAGGCCGAGACTTGTCCTGAAGGAAGCTTTCCCCCATATTAAATGACTAGCTGAGCAGCACAGTGACTGATATCAACCTCTTGTCAATCCCCGCCTGAACTATAGTAACCTCCGCGGCTTGCCCTGTAGTAACCTTTTGTCGGCGCCCTGAAGTAAACTCCGGTCGGCCCTATTGTTTGCATCAGACAGGTAGCTAACTAGCAGCTCTACATCACATGACGCCTGCTGCGCCTGACACAATAGAGAGCAGTGTTTGTGCGTGTGTGTGTGTGTTTGTGCGTTGGAGGGAATGGGATGTTTAACACCATATCAAAGCCATGTTTGTTATGCCTGAGGCTAGTCAGCTACGGGGGCTTCGTTGTTATGGTCTGGCGTTATCAGGCGTGGTGTAGAGCGACTCCGTTTCTGTGCCTCACAGCTGCTTGCGCTCCTGTTGTTACTCCTTGGAAGCGCCGTGAATGTGCGTTGGCTGAGGTGTGCCTCTGTTGTTGCACGCCGATGCAATACACAAGCGAGCCCATTCTGCCAGCCAGTTGTGCGCTGCTCCCTCAAGAGGCTGGTTTTTAGTCCCATAAGAGGCCGGAGGAAACGTCACGTCCAGCTTATTCTGCATCCCATGTGGATCCCACGAGACTGCTCGGGAAGGTGCATTTTCTAAATAAACAAAACACAATAGGTTTATATAAACTTAATAAAAGGGGGGATTGAGCGCTACCTCCCCCCTCTGCTCAGTGTCCCTCTAAACCCTCTCAAATATCCTCAAGTCACGGTGTGACCTGATTTGCAAAAATGAAAAATGTCTCTCTTTGCATCATGCTTCAAAGAGAACTGTAGCCCAAGGGAGGATCTTTTTTTTTTTTTGGGGGGGGGGCGGAAATGAGCAGTTTCTGGCGCAGTCTGCTTTTAGTCTACTACATCAGGATGCGGTGGGTAAAACAAAATTTTTTTTTTTTGACAGATTAAACTGTTCTACTGCTAGAAACTTTCTCAGCACAGGAAGCCATACTTTCATTTCTGTCATCGTCAAGTGAGTTCTACTAGGGCTTTCAACCAATACTCTACGTGTGTGTGTGTGTATGTATGTATGTATGTATGTATGTATGAATGAATTGGCATATGAAAAATATTTGATTGTAAAAACAAACGGCACTACCATGACTTTCTTCCTCGCGTTCACTGAATGCACGGCATGGCCGGAGTCACATGACATCTCTTTCATTAATTGAAAAGGAAATGTAAGGATAGGTCAACATTGGCTCGTGACGAGCTGTCAAACTGGTTTGTGGTCACAGAAGTAGGTGACTGGAAGTAGGCCCTTTGCTTGTACAATCTTCTTAAGGCCACTGTGTCGTAGGTAATCTCAAGGATCAGTTTAGGTTACTCTCGTTCAACGCTCTTCGTGATGCAAGGATTGAGTCGGTCAGGGTGTTACTCCTTTTGACGTTTTGTCTCCCGCTGCGAGAAGGAAAGAATTCCTCACATCTTCTGGTCAAAACAATGGAAAGGACCAGCCGTGCCTTATTTATTTTTTTTGAGGATTTAGCTGTTTACGTTGACTACACCAGAACTCCGTGTTCTCATTTAATCATTCGGCCCCAACAATAACAACTGTGTTTTTGACTTCCATTAATGTTTGAAGTATTTTCTCAACTGTCTCATCATAAAACACACCTCCTTTCAAACGAAAAATCCCCCAAGTCGGGCAAAACAAGACCAGTGGAGGCTTGTCTTTAAATGGGCATGCTTGGACCACATTTTGACACCAAGCCACACAGACAGGATGAGGGCCATTGGAATTCACGTTGAGTCCCATTATTGCATTCGACGTTCATCCTGCTCACGCTTTGGCAAAGGAGATCCAGTACAAGCACAATTGCCCACTGAGTCACCAGGTTAAAAGTCCAAGTACTTCCTCTACTGGAGAAAACCACTCGCAACTTCCACTTTTAAGAGCCTCAAGTGAATTCACTATTAAAGGAAGTTCTAATAGTGTGTTGTGAGGAAGAGAAGTTTGTCACAGTTGCTTTTCCTTCTGCTTCACACACACTCAAACAACTGCTGTCCGTGGTGACATTCTAGCCCCGTAATAGCCCCGTGGTGCACACACGGGCTCTGGCCCGTGTGTGCACCAGACTCCTCAACGATAACACATGCAAGTCGGTTGAACAGTGAAAGTGGGCGGTGTTTATGATCGGGTACACCGTGGTACAGATGACGATTTGTCTTCTCTCTGGAAAAAACTTATAGTGAAGAGTCTGTCATCACATTAATTAATTTCCCATTTGCTCTGTTTGCTTTCTGTCCGCCAGACACGTCTTCTTCATGCACGTAAAGGAGGACCTCCACAACGGTCACCTACGTATGGGCTCGGAACAAGCGGAAGAGCTGAGCGCACTCCTGGCACAGGCCGAGTTTGGCGACTACAACCAAAACACAGCCAAGTACTGGTACACAGAGCTGTGTGGAGAGGAGCCCAGCACTGCAACCATCAACAGGTACAACGCTCTCAAAGCAACCCAACATGGGCCTCAAGAAGAGCAGGAAGTTGAAATGCTCTTAATTGTGAATACATGGCATGCTCAAAAAAACCTACCCTGACCTGAAACCATCACTTGATCTAAGGGTTTTGGGGTAGTTTCCACAAGACGACTGGAAATTGGTCATAATAATAATAATAATAATAAGTTAACAAGAAGAGGGAAACAAAGTTTCCCTAGTGCAAGGATTTGGAGTCCGAGAAGATGGATCCCATTGCATTGTGCAAATGCCGCACCGCTCTTTCGACAGAAATGCCTGTTGGGGAATAAATGCAGTGTCTCCATTTTGTGGTTGTAGCCTTTGGAGTGCGCACTGGAACCATTTGTTCCTCACATGCAGAGTCTAAATGTATACATCATTAAGACCCATGTGCTGGACCAGCTCCAATAAATTATTTTATCCAATTGCTGTATCAAACCAGCAGGCACCGCTGTTCACCGCTACACCTGCACTCACCTCCAGCATGTATGCAGGTGCATCAATTACCCAAATATTTCTGTCTGAACATTTCATAGGATACTTAAAAAAAAAAAAAAAAAATACTTAAAACATGTTTCAGATTTTTAGAAATACTCAAAGTACAAAAAGCAACTTTGTTGCATGAACAAGAGTAAATACAATATTTATTTTTTTTACTTCCACCCATGGCCACCAGGCATTTTCCATCACAGTGGAAATTGGCAGATCTCACTGTGTAAAAGAAGTAATCAGCTTTGCTCCCCAAGCATTGATCTCACAAGTATAGTTGTCTTAAAAGAACCAGTTTAGCATCAGTGCTTTATGCCTGACATGTTCAACTTTGACAGCTAAAAACACACTCTGTAGTGTTTCATTTATCCTGCTTATACAATACACTTGTCACAGTGGGTGTTACTGATTAAAAAATTATGTGTATGACGAACCTTGTCAGAAAATTTCCAATATGAGCTTTAGAGCTAAATAAACGGTTTTCTTTTCTTCCCCCCCTCTCCCCCCCCAACCCGTCTGCAGTATCGTATCCAGACACAAGGCTCTGGAGGGTTTGAGCCAGGGCTCAGTGGAGTATCAGGCCCTGCAGCTGGTCTCCTCTCTGGAGCATTACGGCGTGGAGTGGCACTGGGCTCGCGATGCAAATGGTCAACGGTTGGCCATAGGAGTCGGCCCTGAGGGTATCGCCATTTGCAAGGAGGACTTCAGTTTAGTCAACAGGTATGCTCCACTCGGACATCTGCAAATAGCTCTAGTGATGGCATGTTTCATGTCGCAGTAGGTGTCGAGGATGCAAATTTTTGTGATTGTTTTTAGGAACTACATGTTTGATGTAAGAACATTTAACAATCTCTTCTCTGTTTGCCTCATCTCAGAATAAGCTATCCAATCATCCAGATTGCCACCCAGTCGGGGAAGAGCGTGTACTTGACAGTTACCAAGGACACGAGTGACAGCGTGGTGCTTTTGTTCAAGCTGATCAGTAACCGGGCAGCCAGTGGTCTGTACCGAGCCATTACAGAGACCCACGCCTTCTACAGGTGAGAGCTGAAGACATAAAGTCAACAGTACGCTGTTAGTCATTCACAAGTCTGACCTGCTTTAGAACAATCTCTCTATTCACTGAAGCACGCTTTAGTGTTCCAGAGCAGTTACTTGTTCATGTCAGTTACTTGTTAGTGGCCTTCACTAACGACTGGTAGATTATAAAAGAGGTGGGGAAACAAACATCTAACATGTGTGAAACATTTGTTCTGCTCTACTTGGCATGCGGTGCTTCCTGATTGTTCCACATTTGTACACATTGTTGCTTTTTAACGGTATAAATACAGGTGCAGTGGGTAAAACATGTAATTGACCTGAATGAGTGTGGATGGAAATGTAGATTGCACACCACAATCTTGTTGGTAGAGGTGCCATTTTTCCGTGTGTGTGTGTGTGTGTGTGTGTGTGTTTGCAGTGAGCAGGGACAATTCAAATGGCTGAGCTATGAAATTGTTGTCAGTCAGTCACAATAGCACAAAGGTACAAAAGACAGCCCTGTCCTTTTGTTTCGGGGATGGGTTTTAGCTCGGAGTCTGCAGATTTGTTTTTTTTGGCGGGCATGTCTTCGCCCTGCCTGCTCAGAAACTAGTGTTTATCTCACAGTGGTGAATGTGGCATCGGTACAGGATGAATTAGGTGTTGCGTGCCTAGATAAACAGTGCAAGGGTGATACTGGATAAACAGACGTGCCCTCCACAACTGTGAAGAGGTTGTAAGGCAGATGCATAGTGCAGATTAGTTTGGAATTGGCAGTTTGTCTGGTCGAATGCTTTGATTTTTCTGACCGTAGCAATCGTGTCTCGTCTTATTTTGATTTCCAGGTGTGACACAGTTACTAATGCGGTGATGATGCAGTACAGCCGAGACTTTAAGGGCCACCTAGCTTCCCTCTTCCTCAACGAAAACATCAACCTGGGCAAGAAGTATGTGTTCGACATCCGACGCACCTCCAAGGAGGTTTACGACCACGCCCGCCGCTCGCTCTACAACTCCGGTGTCGTGGACCTGGGGTCCGGCAGCGACGGACGCTCCTCTCCTTCACGCTCCCCGAGTCAGGACGACCAGCCGGACGACGGGATGGACTGCGGCAGCTGCCAGCAGAGCCGAGCCCTGCAGGAGCGGCTGCAGAAGCTCAGAGAGGCCCTGTTGTGCATGCTTTGCTGCGAGGAGGAGATAGATGCTGCGTTCTGCCCCTGCGGACACATGGTGTGTTGCCAGACCTGTGCAAATCAGCTGCAGGTGAGGCTCTTCTTCACACCCAGCTAATTGACGCATGAGTTGGTAGGAACTCAAGAAGGCGAGAAGTAAAGTTCCGCTGCTTTCAGCATGATTGTGAAACCCATTTTCCAATTATAGCTATCCATTACACCTTTTTCATGATTGAGCTGGCCTTGCCTGTTGCTGTCTATTTGTCACGGTGTCGTTGGGTCTTGAATAACAGACGGATGACCTGAGAGGTGCCTAATTAGTTGCCTTGATGGCAGTCAACATTACTCTTCACAGCTCATTTGATGAGAGAGCAAGTTGCTGTGCCACTGAGCAGTTGCGGTTACACATTCTCTTAGCGTGCACCGTTTTGCTGGCTTTGACACCTCCTTGGTTTTAAGTCACGTGTTTACTGGCAACGTATGCTTTGACCCACTTTATCATACATTACAAGACTGGTACAAATGTTAACTTGGTGTAATGTGGCTGTGAAATTATTGTTGTTTGAGGAGATATCCTAAGCGTGCCGAAATATATTGCCATTGGGTTCACAACTTGAGTGCATTAGTTGAACCACTTTGGCTCAAAGCCTAAATTAGCTCAATATTGGAGAATAAACGAATTCAAACTCTAAACCCTTTTTCTTTCCTCTACCCTCAGATGTGTCCCGTGTGTCGGTCGGAGGTGGAGCACGTGCAGCACGTCTACCTGCCCACCTGCACCAGCCTGCTGAACCTGACGCTGACCGACAACCACCAACACCGCAGCAGCATCCCCGCACCCATTCACAGAGAAATGGCCTCTCCTCACAGCTGCTCTACAACAGAGTACGACCACAAGATCTACCATGCATAGACGACTTCACCGGACACTCATCTTAGAAGGAACATTTATCATCCGTCTGTGTTTCCTGTCTGGACTCCTTGAACTACCAAACATAGAGAAACTCCTGAGCATATTCAAAGATCGACACACTCAAACCCCTCCCTCAGTGTGTGTGTGTGTGTGAATGTTATTTACCATCGTCCCTTTGGACGTCAGTTTGTCTGAGTGATTGTTTGCATGTCATTCTGTCCAGATCTTGTTTGTTTTATACAGCCCCTGCCACAAGATTTAGTTTTTAGTTTAGGCTCTCGTTGTCTTTAAATTATTGCATCAGTTGACCTGATACAGAATAGACACATTTGTTTTTGAATTTGTGTGTCAGGCTCCTCTCCCCAGAACCTAAACCATATGATGACTCTTGTGTTTTAGAATAGCTAAACACTGTACATAATGGAGGTTTTTTATATATATATTTTTAATGCTTCCTGAAATTTTAAAGCTTATGTTTTTGATTTGAGAGCTGAGTTTTATTGTGTTAGAGTGAAATGCTTTTTTTCTTTATTAAGAAATATTATTTCATTTCTTGTTTGTCATGTTCCATGTTGTCCACGCCAATAAGGGGGTATTTAGAGGCTAAGCAGCGCTGCTCTGGGTATAGCATTGCATACTAATAAGATACACCAGGCACTAAGACCACCATGGTCCCATTCTTGTCGTCTCTCAGTTCAATGGGGTTCTTGAAGGTTTTTTTTTTTTTTTTTTTGAGCCCACCAGAACTGAGCTTGAACATGAATGCAGCACCTTGCTGACACTCACTCGGCCTCCTTCACGTTGGAACGGGTATTGTTGATTAACTGCCACTTGTCCAAAAGAACAAGCCTGATTTCATAGACTGATGCACCTTTTATCTCAATGCCAACAAAGTAAAAAATGATGAGCACAAAATGCTCTTCTACTAGATGCAGTGCCACAACGTTATAAACAAAGACAAATAGGAATGTGTCCAACAGCAGCTGCTTCCTCTGAAAACCTCTGCTGTAGATTTCTCCTCTGGGGTGTACTAGTGAGTTGATCATTTTTAAAGTGTACAAGGAGATCTGTCTGTGCAATACTTGCTTTGCTTTTTGAAAAGCTTTTCATTTTCAAGTTTTATTTAATTTCAAAGACTATATTTAAGTAAAAAAACGACATTGTCACTTTACCAAGGAAGTTTTCCACGTGTCTGTAGGGGGTTTTGCCTTAATGTAGCATCAACACCGTGTTTATTATAGACTTTCCACAGACTTTTTTTCTGGTAAGAAAAGGAAAACGTTTATTTCTTTTAATGCTGACTCGATTAAGCTCAGTCACTGCAGGGGAAGGACTTTTATTTTTCACATTTTACAAGTAGTGATTTGTTTCTGTTTTCTGAAGCAAAAGCCACTATTCTCTGTAAAACAAATAACTCTGAATTATATCCTTTTTTATATATTCTGTTTTTAACAAAAGAGAAAGTATTAATAAAGTTGTTTTTTAAAAAGACTTTATTTCGGGAACATTTTTTATTGTCTGTTATCTGAAAGCAATTGTACTCGACACCCTAGTACTTGGAAATAGGAACCTACTAGGCCGGTGGTTCCCAACCCGACGGCTGGGAAGTCATTTTTCTTACTTTCTTTAAATATTTGACTTTGTCTTGTAAAATTTCATTAAGACTCGAAGTCTTTCAACTACTACTGCACAAGGCTAGCTATCCCCCTCAAGACACTTGCACATTCATATCGGTTCCAATATACTGGCAGATAGTAACACCTGGAAATTCCCTCAAATCAAACTGTTGACATCTTCAGCAAAGTGTCCAAGATAAACCATCAAACCTGCCAAATCTGGCCCGAGAGGTTTCAGATGACACATGGTGAGAAGAGAGAGCAAAAGTGGAGCGAACGCCTGCTGTGACTTGAGTCCTCACTTTTCTAGCAAAACCAGGTGAATCGTACTCTGAAAGGTCAACGTGTCATTTGTTATCATCGGACTAGGAAAGGGAGCTGATGGTACAAAGAGACTGTATGTTGATGAGAAATGACAAGATCCACTGGATCCACTGGACTAAAGCGTTTAACGCAGCAGCCATTGATTAGTCCGACTCCACCCATCTCTCTTTATTTGCTCTCATGCAGCACTGCCATTAAAAACACTTCAAGGACACTGATGACAGCAGGGATGGAGAGACTTATGGAGTAGAGTGCTGTGATTTGTAGTCAGCCATGCAGAACTCCTGTAATATTATAGGTTGGAAAACACAAGTAGCATCACATAGAATATCACCTGGCTTAAAAGGTAAACTTGGACCTTAAAATACAAGGATGTGAAAGGAAAAATGTGTAACTGTGACACTTGTTTGTTGAGATAGGAATCAACAGCTTTCTTGCTCATACCATCTGCATCCCTGACACTGAGATTCACATGCATGCCCATTTAGCTACAAACAGGGCTGGACTCTGTACATGTACTGTACATGTGTACCCTCACATGTAGCTGAAGCACAAACAGGGAAAGTATTGCTTGTGGTATTATGATATACCATGGAAACACTGCAGATATGTTAAGCGCTTCGGAATGTGAAAACCTGAGAACATTTTCTGTTGTCATACTAATCCGAAATGTATCTGTAATACCACACAAAACTGCATTAATCTCTTGTTGAGAAATGGCCAACAAAATATGGATTTATGTAGTGGGCGGTGACATGTAGAGCCAATGTCAGAGAGAAATGGATGGAGAAAGCTAAAAAAAAAAAAAAA